AAAGTGAAAATAATGCAACGTAAGATATATAATGGAAAAGGTGTGAAGTTTGCTAATTTATATTTGCAATCAGATTAACCTAAAAATCACACCTTTTGGATGTAGATTGAAAATCACCAACCCATATAAGAGTATTAAATTTTTTATAAATAAATTTTATAATATTTTGGGGTTTATTTAATATTTTCGAATTTTTTATTTAGGTTCAATTTTACAACTCATAGTTAACTCTTAATCAAGATTCAACTTATTCCTCTCTTTCTAATGCTAGAATTGGAAAGAGATGAGAAATAAGTTGAACTTCGATTAAGAGTTAACCATGAGTTGTAAAACTGAGGCTCTATTTTTGAGCACATATGAATAATTTTCGCATATGAAAATGACAATTTCTGGATTGTGATCGATTGTATACGGAATTGCTATTTGCGATATTTGTTCAAGAATAAGGCCTCTGGATCTTAGTTTTCAATCAGCTCAGCTTTTCCAGATTTTCTATTGGAAGAAACGATCCAATACGATATGAGCAGCTATATTCATGCAGAAGTTCGTTTAGTAAATTTAGGTCATGTGACTAGCAGATGAGAAAGCAGTGGATTCGCTATCCACTGCATAAATAAATGCATTCTATTTCAAACTTGTTTGTGTTCATTATTTCGACAACGAATTATTTGTGGTTGTAATGTTTATAATTTATACATTAGCTCTTCCTTTTGATCCAAGAGGAACGCGCTTACAAAATTTTTTAAATACATTTATAGCTATATCACGCATATGCACAACACTAACGTTAATATATGTAAATTGAATCATGTATTAAAAAAAAAAAAGAATAATTACCAAGTCCACTTGAAGACGCAGGTGTAGTTCCGAATGAAAACCCTGATGTTTGTCCAGCCGGTTTAAAAGACGAGTTGAATAATGAAGACCCAGCATTAGTGCCAGAATTGAAACCTGTATTAGTTCCGAATGTAGAAGGCGCAGTTGCACCAAACGTAGATGTTGTTCCAAATCCTGTAGTAGTAGTTTTGTTACCAAATAATGGTGTGGTGGTATTTGTAGCCGGTTGACCAAAACCAGTAAAGGCGGTACTAGTCGACGTCGATGGAATATTAAAAGCAGACTTGTTCTGATTGAACAATCCAATGCTCTATAAACAAAGTATAAATATTATTTTGATTTTTACACATATATAACGTGTTTATTATATATTACCTGATTAGGTTGTGTGGAGCCAAATGTAGATCCAAATCCTGTATTTTGTCCAGTATTAATGCTACCAAAACCTGTTCCAGCAGTTTGGTTAGTACTGCTAGTGCCAAAAAGCGGCGTCGGGGCAGCTGCTATAAATAAAATTGTATACTTTATTAAAAATATATATTTTTACACATTTACTACTTTAGTAATACAATAATAGTAAATAATGAACAAAAAATCATGTAATATTTGAAGAAAACAGACAAAAGTTTGTTTATTCAAATATTATATGATTTTCTATAGTTTTTTCTTCCTCAACAATTGTAAAAATACATTTGTACGCGTGTGCATGGATAGATGTGTATGTTTCAATACTTTTTAAATTACTATATATATTTCAATATTAATTTTATAGGTTCCAAT